CCCCAAAACCCCAAAACCCCAAAACCCCAAAACCCCAAAGGAACCACTAGCGATAGAATAATAAACATCTGAATAAGAAGGTCTAGACTTGGAATTTTGAAGATTTGGGTTTAATGTATCCACCTCACTACTCTAAAGGAGTCCACTAAAACAAAAACCTAATTACCCTTCCTTCTCTGATTTCAAAATATTAGCAAGTTTCCTTTTTTAAATACCCTTTAGCCCAAACTTTACCATCCTTCCTGTCAAAACTGATCATAAGCCAATACTATTATTAATTAAAAATCTTCATCCGAATCCTCCCTGCCACCATTATTAAATCCAAATTCAGATGTTCTGCCAGGAGAAGCCCTATGTCCATTATACGACTGAAAGAGCATCCCTTCGTCTTCAATAAAGCTATCTCCCACAATCTTTCCGCCTGGAGAGTCAGGGTTATTAATAGACGTGCTTGATACCTCATTATTAGGAGAGTTTATCGATGACTCTTTAGACTCGCTAATATCACCATGCTTCTGATAAGTAATAGCCCGAGAATTTCTACTAAATTCAATCAAGTCTAGTAACTCTGTATAGCATTTATGAGACTCTAGCAAGTAGTCTAAGTATTCCTGAATCTCATATTTCCTTTTATTCTTGATAACATTATCGGTAACATCCCCAGACCTAGAAATAACAGGGATCGATAAATCCTGATGTTTTCTGCTAACCTTGCTCCGGTGGGCATATATCTCTGTAAATGGCTTAATAATCTCCCATGAATTGCCATCAAGATAGTCGACTGCAATCGTATACTCTAACTCATGCCCAATGACCTTACAGCCAGATACAAGTGGCTTTATCATTTTATGATTTGGGTTTTTATCAAGAATGCTCTGCTCTAGATCCTCATGAGGGAGTATCACAGGAATTTCTCCCATATAAGTTCCACTACCATAGTCATCCATGAGATTATCGATAGAATCTTTGCTCTATAGGCCAAGTTAGATTTAATATTTCAAAAAGACCAAATTTACGTACATTCTCTTTATGTTGATATTTGTCCTCCTTTGGTGGTTTACCCATTTGTAGCTGATTCTCATGTTCTATCAGCTCCTTCTGTAACTTCTTGTACATAGCCTTCTTTTTAGGAAGAGAGTTCTTATGCTGTAATAAAAGCTCAATTTGTTCATGCTCGTCCTCAATCCCTAAGAAAAACAGGATTTCTTTACACCAGAACTGCTTGTGGGAACAAATTTTCATTAGAAAATTCTCAATATTATTTCAACCTATTCTCAGCTGCTTGTGTGATTCCAGAGAAAGAGCTTGCTTTAGAACTCTTCTTATCAATGGTAGGAACTTCATAAATTTGCCTACTATTATTTTCACGGATATATTCAATAAGATAACTTTCTACGTCCAAGAACTCGTTGAAATTCCTTTTGACCTGTTTATCAATTGTGTTGGTCATCACTCTGAAACAGATGTCTTCATCCTTCTTGATTTTAAAATCAAGATAGACCTGGATAGGTTTTTCCTTGAAAGAAATTTGAGACTCAAAGTCAGCTACCTGCATTGAACCCCGTCTTGGAGGTATAATTCTTTGCCTTTTCTTTGTTTTCATCATGAATGCAAACGCTATTCAGTTGCAGAGAAGCTCCAGAGCCATAAACGTGTAATCAAAATAGTCTACTGGGAAGTCAGCCATTATTATAACAGTCAGGCTCATCGCTAAAATGAAAATAGGGCTAAGTATCCAAAACATTTTGTGACAATACCATTCATTATTAAGATTCCTAGTATGCTCCATTTGTATTAAAAGTCCCATAAACATCCAAGTAACTGAATAAATTAAGTAAAACAGACTCAGATATGGTTTGTAATTAAGCCAATAATTCTCAATAGTAAAAGCAGCAGGAATAGGTGCAACATAAAGCACGGCAGTAGCATAACACAGCAGGAGCTTGCTCTTGGTTAGTCTAGAATACCTTGTCGTCCTATTGATCCCATCCCTCCGGATCCTCAGGTACCGGATTAGGCATGCTAATAGCCCCATATAACATGGAATCGACACTATTATTATACTCAGGACAAACTTCAAGGTAAAGTTGTAGCCAAGAGACATTTTTATAGCAAATATTATTAATTCATAGTAAAAAGAGGCTAAGGGGTTTTGGGGTTTTGGGGTTTTGGGGTTTTGGGG